TGACCCATAGGTAAAATGAAAGAATACACTGGAATATTAGTAGTGTCTAGCTCAAGTTGTTCATAAAAACCTGAGTTAAACAAAAAACCAGAACCAATGCTCCAACCTGTAATAGAACTTTAACTTGAATGGGATAACCCAGAGTATTTTTGTTTAATTATTATTTTCCCCTTCTCATGCCAGTTAACATATTATTAGACTTGTTGCCCCTTAAAACAAGATCTGTTGACATAGCAACATTTACCAGCTTTATTGCATTGTCTTGGTCAGTTTCAACAGGTCACATTACAAAACTACGGGAAGTCAATGCAGTTGCAACTAGGGATGTAAGCGATTAATCAAATAGCAGCAAGAGGGAGAGGCTCACGCTGCCCCCAGGAGCTAACCCCACTGCAGCGCTGCACTTTAAATGTAGTAAGAGTCTGCAAGGCTCTTAATATGTTTAATGTGCAGCGCTGCAGTGGGATTCCCCCTTCCCCCCCCGTTATCGACTAATTGATTAGTCAATGGAAATTTCATCAACTAGTCGATTAGTTAATTAACTGATATTTAATATCCCTAGTTGCAACAGTTAGCAGGTCTTTTAACCCAGTATAATCAGTCATTGTAAGATGAATGCATTATGGAAAAATGGGAAGGTAGATGAAAAGTGACTTGCTTACTCAGATAAAACCCTGTGGTCCTCTGAGTTTTTCTGAAGGAAATCAACAAGGTCCATTAGACTCTGAATGTACCTATGAAAAGAATGTAAAAAAACAAAACAAGACCACACAAACACAAAACAAAAAGGCTGGTTATTTAACTGTCTGTTAAACAATACTGTAGTAGCAAAAAAAGTTCCCACCCAAATTAGGATTTAATAAGTTAATAAATTGCCCAAGCTCTATGATCCCACTCAAAATCAACTTGTGTAGTTCCATGTGAAAGACTTTCTCCTCTTCCTCTGACATCAGCCAGCCCTCCAAACGCTACATAAAATTGGAAAGCAAAGTAGTGTTTGTGCTGGCCCATCCACTGCCTACAATAATAGAGATTATGATGGCTGAATTCCACTGGTGACAAGAAGTAGAATTTAATAGCTGCAATTGAAACTCTGGTAATGATTTAGTTGATGTGAGAACCAGAATAGAATACATTTCACTTTCCTAGGGTGCATCTACACAGCCGCACTAGCTCGAAATAAGCTACACAATTTGAGTTACGCATTATTTCAAGATTGTAGATAGCACCAGATTTCGAAAGAGACTGCAATTCTGACAAATCCCTTAATCCATGTGGAATGAGGTTTACCGGGACGTCAGAATAGAAGCCTATTATTCGGCAGCATTTTGAAATAATGGGTAGGCTGTGAAGATATGGAAAATGCTGTTTCGAGATTTAATTTTGTTGTGTGACGTAAGTGTTCACATGCTATTTTTCTAGACTTCTTATTCAGTGTTGTAAAAGCATGTTATAGCTGCTTATAATTCTGTTAACTGGAATGGGCCAGCACTTCTCAGGATGTTTAAGGGATCATGAAGGTGCACAAATGGGTGAAGTCATATTTGAAGTCCCTTTCTACTTGCTTCCTTGCCCTCTGACCATATACTTTACTATTGTCTTTTCTTATGCCAAGAATATCCAGTATCCTAGAGTTGTCACCTTTATCATAGTTTGTACTGATTACTGAACAGAATTCTTACTTACCATTTCTTTACCAGCTGTACTGATGGAGTGCTCAGTAACTGTTTAGGAAGCAGGTCAATTTCTCTTAGGATATTTGCTAGCCTCACAGGAAGTTCCTGACGTAGAAATGCGAAAGAGGTTCTTTCACATCCATTACTTGAACCTATGAAGTGAGAACAGTGAAGTATTATTTTTAAAAATGGATTTTAACATGCAAGTGCGAGCATGTTTCTTGCAGACTCCCTCAGATGCTAGGATTACATTATAGCAACTGCACAAGAGCAAACTACCGATGTAAGCGACTAATCCCTTGACTAGTCACTTCCCTGCACTTGCTGCCTCTAAAAAAGGCAACAAGGGGGGGAGCAGGAGCCGGTGCTGAAAGATGGTTCCCCCATCACTATCTTCATGGAGGGCAGGGAAGGCAGAGGGGTAGCAGGGACTGGGTGCAAGCCAAGAATCAGCTAATTCCAGGCTTGCACCCAGTCTCAGATGCTGCGCTTCTGCTTTTGAAATGTACTAAGAGCCTGCCAGCTCTTAATACGTTTAAAAGGCTGGTGTACAGCAGGGGGACCCAGCACAAGCTGGGAATCAGAGGTCATGGCTTGCACAGGGTCCCCAATGCTGCACTTCAGCCTTTTAAGTATAATAAGAGCCTGCTGGGAGCCAGGAGCTAACCCCGCTGTGGCTCCTCTGTTTATTAAATAATCAACTAGTTGATGGAAATTCCATCAATTAATTGATTAAACTAAATTTAACATCCCTAATGCAAACCACCTATAATATAGCCAGAATGCTATATTGACTATTTCTTCTATACATGTACCAAGATTTCTTTACTTTACATGTTCTGTATTGGGTATCACATAGAAATGCAAAGGCATTTGTGCATGTCAAGCTCAAGCAGAGGGGATTCCCTCCTCATCACCTACAAGAGCCAAAATCCTACATAAACAGAGCCTCTTAAGGATTGTCTGCCAACCTGTCCCACCCTTCCCTATAAAGCTCAAAGGATCAACTTTTCCCAGCTGCTAAAGCAGATAGTCAGGCCTGCAGCACAAAGTACTCCTTTAAAAAAAACACCCTATTTTTCTTGACAGATGCCCCACAGTTGGCGACATACAGAGAACTGAGCTCTGGCACTGCTTGCACAGCAGCAGTACTAACGCACAAGATGATTTTTGGCCTATTTTTAGATTCAGCTTCAATAGCTACAACGGGCGGATCTTTCCGCTCCAGGCAGACTTGCCAGCAGCGCGGGCCCCCGTTTCCAAGGACACCTTTCAGGGGAGTCGCGCTGGCGGGGCGCTGGGCAACGTCCAGCACCAATACACACAACACCACGCTCCTGATCCGGCTGCAAACCTTGGGGCGCGGACGGTCTCCACCCGCCGCCGCGCATGAAGGTAGCGGCCCCGGGGATCAGCTCCTCTG